TACCCTGACAGGTTTTTATAATTACAGTGGATTCTATAATGGTGTTTGATGGCAGAAGTCAGCTCCTGGAGAACCTGTGACTGCTATACCAGGATCTATGACAGGTTTGGTAGTTAAGGCAAGAGCTAGTGCAGGTTTTGACCACTATATTTGAGCTCTAAGACAGCTTTTGAAATCACAGAAGATATTTGGACTTAGCCTGGGTCAGCACAAATATTTCCTATTAAACCCAGAAGAATGATGATTAAAATGCTTTTGGCCAACATGCTCTTACATGCTCCTTGGTACTGAGTGTTTTCCAGTTCAGCATAAAGACACTGATTCTGAGTTCTGACCTGGTCAAGGGGAGTCTTCTTCACTGCTGAACTCAGCACATAGGCTGCATCACATAGTGTAGAGGTATCTTGTTCCATCAGTGGACTTGGCATGGCTTCAGGTGTGCAGACGTGACCCCTTATAAGGAAGAGGAGGTGTTGGCTCTCTCTCTTGGGTGTGATCAGAGCATCCTGAAGATACCACTTCAAGATACCACTACCACTGCCTTTGCCTCCTGAGTGTTGGAATTAAAGGTGTGTACTGCCACCATCCAGCTTGTGTTGATTTTTGACTCAATAGTTTCCAAAAGATTTGAAGTAGCTCCAAAGAATAGCCTTTCTTAAATGAAAAAGAAAACCTTAAAGTTCTCTTTAAGGCTTGTAGGAATGTTGCTCCCTGCTCCCCCTCAAGTTCTGACTATCACAGGAACAGAGACCAGCAAGGCTCAGCTCTGCAGACTTGAGACTAACCTCTGGTACTTAGTTGGCTAGCCCAAGACAAGATATCTATTGTCAGCTCCAGTATCAAACACTAAACTTCCTGACAGGTTTTCTTTTTCATTTAAGAAAGGCTATACTTTGGAGCTACTTCAAATCTTTTGGAAAGTATTGAGTCAAAAATCAACACAAGCTGGATGGTGGCAGTACACGCCTTTAATTCCAACACTCAGAAGGCAAAGGCAGGCAGATCCCTGTGAGTTCCAGACCAGTTTGACCTACAGAGAGAGTTCCAGGACAGCCAGAGTTGTTACATAGAAAAACCCCCGTCACAAACAAACAAACAAACAAACAAACAAACAAACAAACAAACCAGACACATTTGAGCAGAACTGTAACATGGATGTCACAGATGGGTTATGGCTCTTCTAGAGCGGACCTAGCTGGAATTGGGCTTCCACATACATCCCATGTCACTATCAAAGAGTTACTCCACAGCACTGCTGGTATGTTTTAAGGGGGCTTTAATGGAAGGACCAGAAACCACTGTATCCTCCTCACTATAAGTGCTGATGTACAGAGAGCAGCAGATATTTCTCTGATGACCTGGATTTGTTTGGTCTCTAAAATGATTATGAACAATAAGAAATATGAAAGGTTGTATTTTTTCTTCCAAATAGCTTTAAAATGATCTCCCAAGTGTTAACATTCCAGCAGTGAAAGGAGTGATAATTAAGACAAAAAAGTGCATGTCAGAAGCAAATAGATAAGAACACAGAAAAGGAGAGTTCAGAGGAGGCAGCTAATAAGCCCCACAAAGGAGACTTTAATGGGGAGGCCCCAGGAACAAATGGTGGAAGAACTTCCAAACATCATTGTCAAAACCACAAGAGATTTACTAACTACTTAAAAAATCATTTTATTTTATGTTTCATTTTATGTGCATTGGTGTAAAGGTGTCAGATCCCCTGGAACTGGAGTTACAGACAGTTGTGAGCTGCCGTGTGGAACTGAACACGGGTCCTTTGGAAGAGCAGTCAGTGCACTTAACCACTGGGTTAAGAGCCATTTCTCCAGCCCCAAGATTTAATAACTAATTTTTATAAAATAAAAGAAATTAGGATTTTTATGTATTTAGAATGTAGTAGGATTGTGTATTAATTTAATAGACTCAAAATCAACCAAAGTTGATAGGATGGATTACTTCCTGCCTCATTTGGGATACTCCCTTTTTCTGGGTTTATTGATTCACAAAAGGTTGAAGCTTTATATAAACGATGAATGGCATTGTATTAAGAATGAGGGAATGGCTGTTGAGATAGATGACTTAGTGGATAAAGGCATCTGCCATCAAGCCTGTGACCTGAGGTCAATCCTCAGGAACCATGTATTGCGTGGGAATCAAGATTCACTAGACTCAGTATAGGTTAAGTGAAGTTTATTCTGGGAGAATGCACTTACACAAGAGGTGGGCGATCGCTGCTGGTTCCAGCTCCAAGGATCCTCCCAGGCTGTTCCCTGTGACCCGATCAGCCGCAAGAGAGGGCAAGCCGGTCCCAGACCCCAGACCAAATTCCACACGGTCATGTATGCACCTGTGACCACAGCCAAATGGGCATGGTCAGCGCCACAGGTGTGTCTGTTAGAACTCTCACTACACTCATGTGGGGGTAGGAGAGTCTCTACTTACCCAAGTTGTCCACTAACCTCCACACATGAACATGTGTGTGCATTGGGAGCTCACAGAAGGAGTTTTTTTTTTTTGTAGTAAGTCTTGCATTTTTTTATTTGAATTAGAAACAAGATTGTTTTACATGTTAATCCCAGTCACCTCTCCCTTCCCTCCTCCCCTACAACCTCCCCCAACTAAGACCCTATCTATCACATATCCTTTCTGCTCCCCCTGGATTGTGAGGCCTTCTATAGGGTGTCATCAGAGTCTATCATATCCTTTGGGATAGGGCCTAGGCCCACCCCCATGTGTTTTGGCTCTAGGAGTATCACTCTATGTGGAATGGGCTCCCAAAGTCCACACCTATACTAGGGATAAGTACTGAACTACTACAGGAGGTCCCGTAGATTTCTGAGGTTTCCTCAATGCAACCCATGTTCCTGGGGTCTGGATCAGTCCCTTGCTGGTATTCCAGCTATCAGTCTGGGGAGCAAGAGTTCCCCGATGTTCCGGTCAGCTGTTTCTGTGGGTTTTACCAGCCTGCTATGTACCCCTTTGCTCATCACTTGTCCTTCTCTGCAACTGGATTCCAGTTCAGTTCACTGAGTAGTTGTGGGTGTCTGCTTCTACTTCCACCATTGCTGGATGAGGGCTATCCGGTGGTATATAAGTCAGTCATCAATCTCATTATCAGGGGAGGGCATTTAAGGTAGCCTCTCCTCTGTTGCTTAGATTGTTGGCTGGTGTCATCTTTGTAGCGCTCCAGCCATTTCCCTAGTGCCTGCTTTCTCTGTAACCCTAAAAGGTCTCCCTCTATTATGGTATCTCCATTCTTTATCTTCTATTCTTCCCCTGACTCAATCTTTCTGCTTGCTCATGTCTTCCTCACCCCTCCTTTTCTCCCCTTCTCATTCTCCTAGCCCCCCCCCTCTTCCCATGCTCCCAATTTGCTCAGGAGATCTTGACCCTTTCCCCTTCTCCAGGGGACCATGTATGTCTCTCTTAGGGTCAGAAGGAGTTCTTAAAGTGTGAGCAAGAGAGATCTTTGGGCTGCTATGGCTACTGACACACTCACAAAGCACCAATGCGTAGAATAGGGCACAACAAGTGGAATTTGCTGGGAGGCCAGAGGAAGACGACTGAAAACTCCATCATTTGTTCACTGTTTGGAGGAGAAAGGAATTGGTGTCTCACTTTGTTATATAAGGCTGGCCCCAGGCACAATCTTGCAATCTCTCTCTCTCTCTCTCTCTCTCTCTCTCTCTCTCTCTTTCTCATTAGGCAAGAGCAATCATGGCAGTAGTCACAGTGGCCAGGTGTTCTTGATTATTTTGTAGTCACTCTATGAAGACTGGGCATAATTATTAGCTTTCCTCATAAATAAATGAAAACTATATCTGCTAAGTACTAAGCCATCTTTCTTAAATACAAAATAACATTTTTATTTTTATTGGAAATTCATACACTTAAATAATACATTTCAATCCTATCCCTCTACTACCTCCCCCAATTCTCCTTGGTATTCCCCCATCTGTCTCCCAATGTCACGTCCTCATTTTTTATTGTTATTCACAACATACTGGTTTCAATTAGTGCTCCTTTTATGGGTGTGGGGCCATCCACCGGGGACTGGGCAACCCAGTAACAGCCACATTCTCAAAGGAAAGTGTCCCAAATTATTTTCTATCTCTTTGTACTTTGCAGTTCTAGGCACTGAGCCCATGGCCTTCTGTGCAAGGCAAGCACCTACTAATCTATGTCCCCAGCGCCAATTTTTTTTTTTTTTTTAGGCAGGGTCTTGGTATATAGCCCCTGCTGTCCTTTAACTAGAAATCCTTCTGTCTCAGCTCCTGAGTCTTGGGTTTAAACATGTGTGCCACCACATTTATCTGCTACCAACCGGTCAACCAGTACTCTGGTTCTATGGCCAGGAGATACAGTGTATTCTTTCTCTTTTTGTATCCCTTCCCAACCTCCACTGCAGGGCAGGATGTCTGATTAGAAGTTTTCTAAAGCTTCATTGAATTTAATACAGGGTTCACAGCAGGCATTTCAGTAGTGTTTGTAGGCTGTCAAACATGAGCTAAGAGCTGGAGCTTTTGGTTGCTTCGAGGTTACCTGTGAATGTAACCGATGTGCCTCAAGAAGGTGAGCAGCAGGAGGGAAGACGATGCAACGCAGAGAACACAAAGCAAGGACCACTTGCTTTCACTCATTCCATTCTTATTTCTGCTAATAACTGCTTCTCCTTGCCACTGGCAAGGAGAAGGAGGCTAAAGGGAATAGGAGTTACTCCGGCTCCCCACATAGCTAGAAAGGAGGTCACTTTGCACCAACTACTCTGCAATAAAAGAAAACAGATATACAGTACAGCATTCCACTCAACAAAAGCCAGAACTGACATGTGTGTTTCAAGGGGAGGAGAGATGTCTAACTGATTTTCTCATTGTCTATACATCAATGACTCATAATTTATTCTTAAGACGACTTCAGAGCTCTAAGAATATATGACATTGCTAATTTGCTCTGTGTCAGTTTCCCCCCATGGGTTCTTTCTACTATGCATTCGCTTTCAGGTACCGTGAGGAAGGTTACTTCTCCAACCCATAAATTCTTCCCAACACTACCCAAGCGTGGACAGCAGGACCAGATGTTTGAGAAGGCCTGGAGGAACCTGCATCTGAATTCAATATCATCAAAATGAAAGAGGGTCAAGAGTTTAGGAAACCGTATAAAGCAATAACCACACAAGATATTTTATTAATAAATTCTATCCAGTTTTGACATGTACTGTCATACATCATAAACATAACTGGTACACTTTTCCTATCATTTGTTGTGAATTTCTGGATCTAAGACTACTTCTTTAGTACAAAGGGAACCAGTACATTAGATAGAATTGTGTTAACAATAAATGTATAAATACATTAACTGTAAAATGGTATATAAGACTGGGATTGGAATGTAAAAATAAATTAATAAAAAAAGCAAAAATGGCACATGATTAATAACTATATGCTTGATACAAAATACTTTCATCCGACTGGGCATTGGTGGCGCACGCCTTTAATCCCAGCACTCGTGAGGCAGAGGCAGGAGGATCTCTGTGAGTTCGAGGCCAGCCTGGTCTCCAGAGCAAGTGCCAGGATAGGTTCCAAAGCTACACAGAGAAACCCTGTCTCGAAAAACCAAAAACCAAACCAAAACAAAACAAAAACACAAAAAACAAAAAACTTTCATCTGAAGGTCTTATAACAGTAGTATATAGTTTGGGTGTGGATAGCAGTCTCTTTATCTGGGAAAGTAGAGGAACTGAGGGAGAAAATATTTATTGACTGACTTTGGAGCTTTGAATTTTAAGAGGGTTGTTTCTTACCTAATACTAAAAGTGTTCTAGTTTGTGAAGAAATTTTACATTTTCCTTAAAGCCTTCAAAATGTCTTTAAATTTATTTTATTTTATGTGAAAAAATTTAACTGTATTTGTATATTTGTGCAGGATAATGTGCTCTTGAGTGAGGTTGCCTAGGAAGCAAGAAGAGCTGGAGCTGGAGTTACCTACACGGGTGCTGGGAACTGAACACGTCTTCTGCAAGAGCAGTAAGTGCTCTTTATTGCTAAGCCATCTCTGCAGCCTCCTACATTCATTTCTAAAATGTTGCATACCTGGTGTAATAATACACATTTTGGGAGACATTCACCTGGTGTAATAATACACATTTTGGGAGACATTCCTTATCAGATAATAGCATTTTATGATGTTGGAAACAGACAAGAACAAAGTATTGGTGGGGGTTGGATAAACTAACTAGCTTGATTGGGTCTTCCTGCAATGTGGGACTATATACATAGATGCAGTGTATCCATAGATCAAGACATACTGACGGGTGGTGATGGTGCACACCTTTAATCCCAGCACTTGGGAGGCAGAGACAGATGGATCTCTGTGACTTCAAGGCCAGCCTGGTCTCCAGAGATAGTTCCAGATCAGCTAGGGCTATTACACAGAGAAAACCTTGTCTTGAAAAACAAAAACAAAAGACATACAATGTGTCCCCTGAATACACATATTTTGTATTATGTCTATTTAATTGACCTGTCAATTAAAAACAAAAAAAGGTCATGCAAGATGGCTCAGTGGGTAAAGGCACTTGCCACCAAACATTACAACCTGAGTTCATTCCCCAGGTCCTACCTAGCGGAAGGAGAGAACTGACTCCTGAAAGCTGTCTTCTGCCACACATGTGCACCCACCACCTTTTTTTTTTTGAATTACAAACAAGATTGAATTACATGAAAATCCCAGTTCCCTTCTCCCTCCCTTCCTCCCCTCTCACCCCAACTAAGACCCTACCTATCACCTATCCTTTCTTCTATTCTTCACCTTACTCAACCTTTCTGCTCCCTCATGTCCTCTGCATCCTTCCTCTTCTTCCCTTCTCATTCTCATAGCTCCCTCCCCCATCTTCCCATGCTCTCAATTTGCTCTGGAGATCCTGACCCTTTCCCCTTCTCCAGGGGACAAAGTTTGTCTCTTTATTTTATTTTTTATTTAATTTTTACAAATTATAATTTCACATGTCAGGGTCCTCCTTGTTTACTAGTTTCTCTGGCAGTGTGGATTGTAGCCTGGTTATCCCTTACTCTATGTCTAAAATCCACAAAATCTGTAGCACTACTATATACGATGACACATTGGTGGAGAAAGAAATCAGAGAAACATCACTCTTTACAATTGCCACAAACAACGTAAAATACCTTCGGGTAACACTAACCAAAAAAGTGAAAGACCTGTACCGTAAGAATTTTGAGTCTCTAAAGAAAGAAATTAAAGAAGATACCATAAAATGGAAAGATCCCCCATGCTCTTGGATAGACAGGATCAATATAGTAAAAATGGCAATCTTGCCAAAAGCAATCTACAGATTCAATGCAATCCCCATCAAAATCCCAACACAATTCTTCACTGACCTTGAAAGCACCCACCACCTTTATACACACACACACACTCACTAAAACAAAGGAACAAACAAACAAATATAAAAGAAGCCCAAAACACGGAATCCAAACTCAGTGAAGGGAGCAAGCCTCCAAGGCTTGGGAGAGGAGGCAGGAATCACTGAGCCCACACCCAGTGGGGCCCAGAACCTCAAAGCTCTGGCTGCTGGAACATCCTCCAGCTTCTCCATTTGCACGAGAGGCTTTTGACTTTCAGTCTGAGAGCAATAAATGCGGATTTATGAATGATCTCACACTTCTCCCCTCCAAGGCACTCAGCTGCCTTTTGATCTCCAACTGGAAACATCTGAGCTATAGTTGCTCTGTGAGACTCTTCTCCTCAGCCACAGAGGCAGCAAAATGACTTGCTGAGCTGTGGCACTTGTGCTTCCCAAGGAGGGTCCCGGGACAGCTATGTTGCCTCCTCCTAAGTCGCATGGCGTTCCTCGAACCTGGATATTTGTGTGGTTGTGGTTCCTTCCAGGGAGTTGAGGCAGATCACCGAGGATGGTACTGTGGCATATTTATCCACTGAATTCACAGGCAGGTCTGGAATGAAACAGTCCCTGACATCAGGGGAAATCAGGTTGTGGCGTTCACATAATCAACTTTACAGCAGAGAATTCAGCACACAGCCCACCTCTTTCCAGGTTCTGCTTTCAGTCAAGCTCAGGTAAAGTGTGGGTGGAAAACAGAAAAGCTAGACCTTGGCACCAGTTTTGTTTGCACTGTGTGCTTAGCCTGTACAACACAGACTCTCAGTAAAAATTGCTGGAATGAACACACTGTAATAATTAGGTATTAGAAGAGAAGTGTTTGGACTGGAGATACAGCTCAGTAGTGGAGTGCATGCCTAGCATTCGTGAAACCCTCATATTCTAATCCATCCATCCATCCATCCATCCATCCATCCATCCATCCATCCATGTATGCATGCATGCATACATACACACATACGTTTTCTAATAGTAAATACTTGTGATTCATTATTTATATATTGCTGTATAGCATTCAAATTATTGTTTCTAATATTCACTGTGATGACTTCATTATTTATTTATTTGTTTGTTTATTGGGATGTTTTGTTTTGTTGCACAGTCTGGTGAGAGTCTCTTGTATTGCTGGGAATGAAGGTTTGTTCCATGAAACCCATGATTTTAATGTTTTGAGCACAGTGCTAAGGTTTTATTAATATTTGTTTTTTAGAATTTTTATTCTCTTTTATACTGTATCCTGACCACAGCTTTCCCTCCCTCCCCTCCCCACAATAAGCATTATGTTTTTGGTAGTGGAGGTGGGTACATAAAAGACAGTGTAAAGTTGAAAGTGGTTCAGCTTCCAGAGTTAAATATCTTTGGAGGGAACTTGATGCTTTCTTGTTTGTTTTTGTCTTTAACTAAGAAAGTTAGATAGAATGCAAGGATGGCCAGCATGTGTGCCCACAGATTAATCTACAGATTAATCTATATAGATTAATCTGTACTTAGGAGCCAATAGATTCTGTACTTAGGATTAATCTATACAGATTAATCTGTATTTAGGAGCCAATAGATTCTCAAATCCCACCCCCCTCTCGTTTTTTCAAGACAGGGTTTCTTTGTGTAGCCCTAGATGTCCTGGAACTTGCTCTGTAGACCAGGATCTCAGAGATTCTCCTACCTCTGCCTCTTGAGTGCTGGGATCAAAGGTGTGTACCTCCACTGCCTACTCCTGGAATCCAGTTGTAGAGAAGGAGGAGTGATGAACAAAGGGGTCAAGACCATGCTGGAGAAACCCACAGAAACAGCAGATCTGAGCAAGGGGGAGCTCACAGATCCCATTTTGACAGCTGGGGAACCAACCCTGCTGAATGTGCATATCAACTAGGAGGCCTGGGCAGTCTATAGGGCCTCTGACAGTGGAACCAGTATTTATCCCTAGTGCATGAGCGAACTTCGGGAGCCCATTCCACATAGAGGGATACTCTCTCAGCCTAGATACAGGTGGGAGGGTCTAGGCCTACCCTAAATGATGTGACAGACTTTGATGGTCCCCCATGGGAGGCCTCACCCTGCCTGGGGAGTGGATGGGGGTTGGTGGTAGGCATGGGAGGATGGGAGGGAGAGGGAACTGAGATTGGTATGTAAAATAAGATTGCTTCTAATTTAAATAAATAAAATTTATTAAAAAAAAGATGAAAGTTAATGAACTAGAGCAAAGTGAGAGAAGCAAAGCGGAAACCCACTTCTGACAAGCCTGGGTAAGTCCTGGCCTCCAAGAAACATGTGTTCTGTTTCTGCAGCCCAGGGTTCTGTGGGACTAATGCTGCTGTGTTCTCACAGGTGAAGACTGTCCAAGTGTCCTTTTTACTTTAGTACCAAGGATCCTGGTGAGAAAAGGAGGTGAAATAACTTATTTCATTCTACACAGCTGACAAATAACAGCCTTCCCTTTGGGAACTTAAATGGAGGCTTGTTCTTAACTGAGCTTCCAGCACCCGGTGTGAGAGAGCCTGGCCGTTGATGTAGAACAAACTTCAGGAACAAAGGACAGGGGAGGAAGAAGAATGGAAAACAGATGGGGAGACTCCACCCCAAATGCTCTGGGCTGTGTCATGTGAACCCCTGAGTCATTTAACAGTGGGAATCCATTCAGGCTTTCCTTCCTGGGTTTCTTCTTTGTCACCAGCATTTCTCAAGTTCTAGAACACTCCCAACTCCTCCCATATCATCATTTGTGAGTTATTTTGTCTCATATTTACAGAGGGTCTGCATCCGTAGTTCATTAATTTGATGACTTAGTGGCAAGAGGTGGTAATGGCTGCTAATAGCACTCACTGTTACTCCATAGAATTATCTTTCCATGTGACCCAGAAGGAATGGCCAAGGTGAGAGTCTCGGGCATCATGGGACAGGCACTGGGTTTCCACTCTGTTTGATCACCATCACCAATAACTATCCTTAGTTCAGGTGAGAAGCCCAGCTAAAGGACTGGAGAAAACAGCTGTGTTTTCCCT